GTTCGGGGCATGGTTACCTCCCGGTGGGGAGGAGGTCAGGACGGGGGCAGGGCACGTCTGGGCACGTATTGGCCACGCTCTCTCTTCATCTGGACGATGGCCACGTGGTTACCGTTTTATAACGGTACTTTCCACATACACAATGGAATCTCCAATAGTAACTAAAGGTCAAATTTTCCTTTATAGAGAATCGTGGTCTCCCCAGTGGAAGAAGGGCCACTTCTCCCAGGGACGTGAGGGCGGATGGCGTCGACCTGTGCAATCGTGACACCTGGGCTGCTTCAGCCTACAAGCCTGATGGCGAACCCACGGGCTTGGGGGACACGGGGCAGCAGGGAAGATCCTGTGACCCCAGGCCCTGGGCTCATGGAGGGCACAGAGCCCGCCTCACCTGGTCAAACTTCTCGGTCATCTTGTGAACCACACTGTTGCCTTGGTTGGTCTGGTACAGCTCGGCCGTCACCATCCCTGGGAGAGAAAGAAGCACACTCAACATGGAAACGCGGTTTGCACCACTCCTCCTCCTTCTCCTGGGAGGGCGTGAGAGGTGGGCGGGGCCACAACACCTCATCCCTCAGAGACCACGGCAAGGCCACAGGAGTAATCCGGCCTCGCTGCTCCCCAAAAAACCAAGATCTCCTACCCAAACCAGCCTCTGGAGGAGGCCCCAGCCCGCCCAGTGTCTTAGGACCACAGGCGGCCAGGACGGTGAGGCCCAGCCGGCATGTGAGAGAGAGGCCCAGGAGTGCCAGGAGCATGGCTCACCTTCACAGCCACAGCACTGGACGAAGAAGCTGATGAGGTCCAGCAGGGCCAGCTCCCTGTCCTCCTTGTAAGACTGGACCCACTCCTCAACGGCCGTCTGCAGGGGCAGCAGCACAGGTGAGCACACGTGTGTGATGACGCACATGTGACAGGCCAGCAGTGAGGACACAGGTGTGATGGTGTGTGTGTGATGGGCCAGCAATGACCACGTGTGTGTGATCAGGCCTGTGACAGGTGGTGATGAGCATGTGTGTGTGATCAGGTGTGTGACGGGCGGCAGTGAGCACATGTGTTTGTGATCAGGCATGTGATGGGCAGTGGTGAGCACATGAGTGTGTGATCAGTCATGTAACAGGTGGCAGTGAGCACGTGTGTGTGATCAGGCGTGTGACGGGCGGCGGTGAGCATGTGTGTGTGATCAGGCATGTGATGGGCAGTGGTGAGCACGCGTGTGTGTTATCAGGCATGTGACAGTTGGCAGGGCAGCTGTGAGCACGTGTGTGTGATCAGGCATGTGATGGGCAGCGGTGAGCACGTGTGTGTGATCAGGCGTGTGAGGGGCAGCAGTGAGCATGTGTGTGTGATCAGGCATGTGATGGGCAGTGGTGAGCACGCGTGTGTGTGATCAGGCATGTGACAGGTGGCAGTGAGCACGTGTGTGTGATCAGGTGTGTGACAGGCGGTAGTGAGCACGTGTGTGTGATTAAGTGTGTG